AAAAAATTATATGTAAACATATGGAATTCTGGCATGCAACACACACTTTTTATGATACAACAATTAAACATAACAGAAACAAGTTAATACATTTCATTTGATCGATCAGTCATACATAAATTAAACAGTTAGGAAACAGGTAAGACTTCTGTAATGGTACTATTAAAAAATGTTAGACAATAACCAGATTAATATATTTATCATCAATAAATCCAGTAGGTTTCAATCTCATATATTTTAACTGATTGGATATTGGAACAACCACACATAGCCATATTTTAACCAGGTTCATATATTTTAAATAAATACATTTAATGTTAATTAAAATGAACAGATTTATGCTGATTCTAAGGAATTTGAATAAATGCATTCTGAAAATATGATTATTTAAATAAAGTCAAAAAATGCAAATAGGTAATAATAAATTATGCCATGATTTTTTTATTGCATAATCGTACCCATTTCATTTATGTATGACTGACAAATATGCATTACATTAAGTTTATTAGTTTATGTTAAAACTGTGTAGGCCTAATGGATGGAAATGTTATATGCAATTTAAATACATAAATCTTAATTTTACACAACAGGAATTTATTCACTCAAAAATTGAAAACTAAATTTAAGTCCTCTCCTATGTTATTATTGAATATCCAGTTTAATTTGGAAAGACACTTTATGGAAGTATAGGTTACAAATACATTTTCACTTTAAGCAACTTTCCGATACTACAACAGTCCCAATGGAGCAACCTAAAAATGATGTTGAAAGCTCAAGGCTCATCACTTGGTGGTTCTGAACTTCACATCCTCTCAGTTTCCCATCCAGATCTTTAACCAGGACGGTACACAACCTGCATATCTAATAATATATGCCTCAGTTGTTCTCTTCATTGTTTGTTAACCCAAAAAATTTGAACTATTCATTCCGTTCAAAAGTTTGGGGTTGGTAAGACTTTTTATTACACAGCGCTGTGGAATACTTGATTCTGATTGGTCAGTCGCGACATTCCGAGGTAAGTTATCCCTCGATAACAACCGGTAAAAACTAATAACACAGGCTCATCCGGGTAACTGAAGTCGGCGCTGTACTCTTGCTAGGAACTGTTTTTTCTTGGTGGAAGCTTTGTGTTTGTTTAGCTTATAAAATATTAAAACTCAAAATTTGTGTACAATTATTTAATCTGCGATAACAACCGGCTGGATGTACATTATCCCTTACTTAATATTTTGAAATAAGTCTGCATTTATTAAAAACACAATAAAAACACGGTCAAAATTATTGATTTTTTAATGCCAAAAATCATTAGGATATTAAGTAAAGATCATGTTCCATGAAGATATTTTGTAGAAGCTTTGTGTTTGTTTAGCTTATAAAATATTAAAACTCAAAATTTGTGTACAATTATTTAATTATGTCATCCTGGTATCGTGGACTCGCTCTCTCGTTTCATACAAACGCAGCTGCTGCCATTTTGCTACTATTGTTTTGTACGCTGTAATGGATTATAAGATAACTTATACTTAACTTAAACATTTTCATCTTAAATCATTTATCGCCATAATTATTTATGTGGTGAAATGTTGTATAATAAGTGGTGTTGTGTATCCCTTAAATGTCCGTCTCGTTTGAACTTGCCGCTGTGAACTGCTGTTTTCACGGAAGCTTTGCATTCAAATATTTCAACTCAAATCATTATCTCGTGTCTAAGTATTTACTTATGTACCAAGTGGCCGTGTAATAAGCGGGATAATGTACATCCAGCTGGTTGTTATCGCTGAATAACCCCATTCCAGCATCATTACTCCAGTCTTCAGTGTCACATGATCTTCAGAAATACTTCTGATATGCTGATTTGCTGCTCAGGAATCATTTGAGTTGCACCAGTGTTGAAAACAGATGATGTGCTTCTTTATATTTTTGTCCAAAATCTCCTTTTGGTCAGTAAAGATGGTTCAGCTGCCCTTTAGGCCAACAGGCTAAACAAACCAACATCACTCAGACTGTTTGTTTAAGAGGTCAAAGGCTCAAAACATCACACCAGTGCTTTAACAGTCAACAAACCGCACATCTATGAGTAGTGAGCAAGTGTTATATAACACACTCACACACAGCAGCGTCTCTGAAAGTCATCACAGCAGAGTAAAACTGTCATTATGGGTCATGATAACTCATTTTCCAAGTCTATTAAAACTCTGAAACTAATTTGGAGCAAAGCACACCGACAGCCCTGGTTGTGTTGACACCAATCCTGATGTAGGTTAAACGGATGATTTTCTAACAATGCAACTGGAAGCTCAGGGCCTATTTTCAGAGCTGGGCTTTTATTTATAGAGGCCCCAGTGGCCCCAGTTGTCACCCTTCGCTCAGCTCTCAACAGGCTTTTCCATTTACCAGCAGGGCTAGAGCTAAAAACCACACGGCCCAGGACAAATGTTACGGGTGGGCATTCTTTACCCTGTCCAAATAGGTAGACAGTTTCATAGAGGAACACAGTGGACCCTATTTGTCACATGGCCCGAGACGACAACCTGTTCAACAGCACATTCTCTGTTTAAAAGAAAATGACAAATATAATAAATTTTTTGCTGTATATAAAACAGAACCCTAACCGTAAGGATTTGATTAACTTGAACTGTACAAGACAAAACATTTTGAACCTAAAAGTATGCAAATATAAAAGTACCAAACATAATATTGTTTTGGAAGAATATATATATATATATATATATATATATATATATATATGTTAGAATATAATTTAAATACCATTGTATATGCATACGATAATCATTCGGATCCATGGTAATATATCAAAGTACCATCAAAATACCAACTGATACCATATTGTACCATAATACCACCAGCAGTAGTTTTTGAAAGGGTAATTTTGATACCTAGAAAAGACGGGCAAGCTAGAGATATGAAAAAATGAATTCTATAGATAGATACTTTAATAAGGATGCATTATATTGACCAAAGGTGACAGTAAAGATGTTACAAAAGGTTTCTATTTCAAATAAATGCTGAGATTTTGAACTTCATAATAATCAAAGAATCCTACAAAAAAAAAGTGTATCAGTTTCCACAAAAATATGAAGCAGCACAACATTTTCAACATTGATAATAATAAGAACTTTTCTTGAGCAGCAAATCAGCGAATTAGAATGATTTCTGAAGGATCATGAAGACTAAAATAATGATGCTGAAAATTCAGCTTTGACATCAAAGGAATAATTTACATTTTAAAACAATTATTTTAAATTGTAATAATATTACTGTTTTTACTGTATTTTTGAGTGTCTCATGATCCTTCAGAAATCACTCTAATATGCTGATTTGCTATAAATAAAAAATAGTCTTTTTAAATTATAAGATTTATATTTCACATTACTGTTTTACTGTATTTTTGAACAAATAAATGCAGCCTTGGAGAGAGAGCAAAAGACACTAAAGACATTTAAAAAAAAAAACTTTATTATTTAACAATTATGACTGGTAGTTTACATATGATGTATTTATTAAGAAACAGCACATTTCAAGCTAAATTATTCACAAAAAGAAGTTCATAAGGTGTGAAATGATTAATAAAAATCCTAAATAACTGATGATTTGTAATCTAATGAGGTGAAATGAATATGGTCCAAATACTTTGGGCTCACTGTAAAAGACTGCAGATTATTAAAAGTAATTTTAAACAAGACAGCCCCCAGGTGGCAGAACACTGTTTTGCAGGTCACTTCAGCTGATACAGGACAACAGATCTTGCATTCATTTCTCAGATCCACAGTCAAGAAAAACATAAAATAAACATGTTTTTTTTTTAACCTACACACATAACAACTTCAGCAGACTGCTCATGAAGTACACAGCACCTACACATACAATTCACCCTTTACTTGTACAAACATCGCCACACACTCAAACCTTACGCACATTCTCTCATGTCTTACCTTTAACCCTTCCTCTGATAACTCCAATCCGACATCGTAAAGAAAACGAGAACATCTTCCTCTTCCCTTTGACTCCTCCAGCCAGTCCTTTCTTCATGGTCGTCCATGCAGGGACCCCATCCGGGAGCACTTTAGGGTTTAAAGAACAACTAACGTGCCACATGGCTCCTCTTTCCTTCTCCTCTCACCAGTACCACACAGATCTTCAGCCTAGTCTTGCTTCGGGTCTATTTCTCTCTTATCTTCCTTCTCTACCCTCTCTCTTCATCCTGGAAGAGCTCTTTGTTCATTCTCTGTGGGAAATCCTGCAACTTAACTGAGATATGAGGATTTTGGAGAAACACGGCTGATCTCATTTCACCCTCCTCAATGTAACGTCATGAAAATCTGGGTATGACTTAATAATGCATCCAGTTAAATATAGTGGGTAGGGCTAATAACACCGTTGGAGTGCAAGTGTGTGCATTGGCTGCTCACAGATGAGACAGATGGACTGAAGCGGCCTGCTACTGAGATACAGGCTGCCTGAACCACAGGAGAGACACCACACTAACAATAAAGTACCATAATAACTACTGACAGAACCATATTTTGATTTGGATGTTTAAATACCATGGTACTATTAATATGGCAATCGTACAATATTATGGAGGGGAGACTGGGGCTAGCTGTCACAATTTAGTACTGCATCTCAGTCAAACGTCCAACGAATAAATTATCTTTGTTATATTTTACAAACTATACTATACTATACAAACAATTTTCATTATCATACATTTTTTTTCTGGGTCAATGCACAAATAAAATGTCAAATACTCTATATAACATAACAAAGGTACTGTATTGCTCATTGTTACTTAATGTATTAACTAACATTAACTAATGGGACCTTATTGTTAATCGCCACCTATTTGTTAACTTTTTTGCTATTTCATGAATTATTGTTTCATAATAAATGTATTGTTAAAATTTTGCATTGCCATTTTGCATATTGCCTTTTAACTTGAATTTCGCTACCTATATGCTTCCATAAAAGTAAACCACACTCTCGGTTTCTCTTTCTGACTCCTCATGTTCACCAACGTCAGTATGAAACTACGGAGCCCCGAAAGGGCTTTTTTGCGTTCCCCAGAAAAGCGTTGAGTTCGCTCAAGATTTGCGAGTTTTGCATAGTTTCTCTGGGGAACGCAAATAGGTTTTCCTCATAGTTCATATATTTTTGTAATCAACATGTCACTCAAGCCACGGCTCCGAAATGAAACCCACACAAACATAATGAACTAAACTGAAACTGCACGTTGCTCCTTAACGTGCGCTACGACTACGAATATAACGAGGTTTATTACTTTTTATATACAATGAACGCCTGTGTAGACTGAGCAATGGCCTATTGTTGACCTCCTTCGCATTTATGAAGGAAATAACGTAACGAAACACAATCACATGATGATTACAGCATAAGGAAGCTGCTGAACATTTCGGGAACTTACGTTTACTTCTCATCGCGTTTGCAAAATGGAGAGACCGATTGTGAGGTAAGATTTAAAAAAAAAAAATCTTAATAATCGATATTCCCAAAAATGCTCAACCTGACTTCATTAAACTTCCTCTGAAGTGACTATGGATCTAACTACGGCACCATTAACCCGGTTTATGGATTACCAGCACCAGGTAAGAGTTTGTTGTGAAATTTACACAATCTCAGATTTCCACAGGACGACAGCTATATTAGAAATATTACCATGATAACCAGAGTTTCCGCTTAGCCTTAACGTATCTAAAACAACGCTATTTTTTACGTAAATGTATCGCTTTGTGCATAGTTAGTATGCCATATTCATATCATTATTAATAGCCTATTAGAATTCGTATAGTATGAAGTACTTGTGCTACAAAAACGTTACTATAGTATACAGTATTTACAAAAATATGGTTCTCCGAAATATACAGTAGAGTACTCCGGTACTGTGGTAAATGTAAAAAAAATAAAAATAAAAACGTAGTTTTTATAATTCAAAATACTGTGATTAAATCATAATTGTCTGAATAAATCTACAAAAAATGTTACTTATACCAAGTTACCAGTTTTATTGTAGAAACAACTCCACCCAATCGTCCATTCAGCGCCATCCAATAGCAGCAGCTCTCGGACTACAGGCTACTGTACATTCCTAAACCATAAATACACTAGACTTAAGTCCATAGGCATTAGCTGACTGCTCACCCCTTACTTTAGAAGTCTTACCAACAACAAGAATCAGTTCTTCAAGATCTAAAATGTAAGTCCCTAATTAATGCTTGGCGAATAACATTTTCAATAGCTTTCTAGCTTTTTCTAATAATAACTGGCTATTTATAGGCTGTATGGATTTTTCACAAAGGTATTTTAACACTGTGACTGACCATCCATTATCACAATTAATATTTCAAAAGCTGTGCAATAAATATATAAAAATGTTTGAATGTATAGTGACATTTTTGTGATATTTGAAACAGAATTTTTTGAATGGATACTATATGTCTTTCTTGGAGCCGAACTAGTGGAAAACTTACCTAACCGGTTTGTTTGAATCTCATTCAGCCATGGCAACCGCACCTGCGACAATCATCCATGGACCTTCTGCACCCCCTGCAAACATGTTCGATACAGTCCCTGGATATGAAGGAACAATAGCTGGCGGAGGCGGTAAGAAGCATGCAAGTCATGTCAAACATCAAAAAATAAAAGCTAAAGTAAACACTTCAGCATGAGAAAATGTGTTCAGGCTCATATGGTGCATTCAAATTGTGTCAGAAAGATCATATTTACGAGTTGACTTGAAAGCATATAAACATCACTACAAAGTTGTACTTACAAGTGGGGAACTTTTCTTTAAGCCCTGAGTTTCCGAATTGTTAGTGCATGTTAGTGCAAGTTGCATGTACAAAATACCATAGTATTGTACAATTACCATGGAATATATAACAATTAAATTTACAGCACCTTCATAAATGTAACAAAAACGTAAAAGCAAAAAACACACCAATGCACATTCTTTATTCATCATTTTGTAAATACAGAGTTAAAAATCCTTGTTGAATTTTGTGTAGAAAAGGTACATCGCCATCTTGCTCCAACCAAATGATTTGAACGCATCTGATGTCATAAGTATGACTTTCCAGCAGGACTTAAATGCACCAATAGAACTTACGGTGTCAGAGCACAGAAATTCATGAATGGACAAGTAGTTTTGTTGTTGACATGTCTCTAATTTCACAGGTGGGTACCTTCCACCTCCACCTCCATCTGTACCGATGCCTGTGCCTGAACAGGCCCCCAGCTCCCCAGACTGGCAGTAAGAGCTTTTTCTCTATACGAAAAGCACACAATGCATGCATTGAATCTTAAACACATGCGGGGGGGTGTTCAAATTGTGGTTCTCAAACTAGGGCAGCATAATTAATCAAAACAAACCTGAATGTTTATTTTTTTAAGTCATAATATTCAATATTTTTATTTAGTAATTGTAATAAAAACAACATTTATTAAAATATGTAATATATTAACATTATTAATAATTATTGTTATTGTTTTTTTATTGTCATACTGACATATAATCACAAAATTGGGGCCAAATCGCACAGCTCTAGAAGCAAACAGCATACCTGGATTTTTTTTTTTTTTATCCAAAACATTTTAAATCATAATTCAACTGTAGTAAAGCACCTAAAAAGTGTCACAGTGGTAGTAAAAAGTGTCAGAAAACATCCTGTTAGACATGTGCAAAGGTCACTTACGTATTGATCTTTTCTCTCTGATAACAGTATACCCTCCATCTCAGAGGACCGAGCACGTGAATCTTTCGCAACGTACGTCTCCAGCAAGTGCTGTTATAGTTCTGCCCCTGTCAAAGAGGGAGTCATAACCAATATGGAGTCCTTTAATACCTACAGGGTGAGACCTACAGTAAATCATCTTCATTATGACCATCACTTTCTTCTCCAGTATGTGGAGTACAAAAGTAGCAACTAGAGTTTTTTAGACATAAAATGTATAAGAGATACTTTTAAGGCCTGGATTTACCAACATGGTATCCTGCCGAGGATTCTCTGTCCCCTTTTAGCCAAGAGCAAGCCAAGGAAGAAGGATAGGAGTTTACAGCTCCAGGATGAGCTCAGAGCATCACTTGAGGAAGTGCAAGCCAGCAGGATGGTTGGGATGTGGCAGCAGTGAGCTTGGACAAGGTGGGAACCAGTAGTAATTTACTTGGGCTGAGCTCTAGAAAACCAAGCCCCACCTAATAAAATTCATAAAATTCCAGGCTGTCTATGACATGCTACCAAGCCTGTCCAATTTGTTCTGCTGAGGGAAGGCTTGCCTTCTGTGCCTGAAGAGAGGGACCCTGGATCACATCCTTACCCGCTGTCCAAGAGCCCTGAGGGCTGCTATCGTTGACATCATGACAAAGTTCTGAAGGCTATAGTAGATACCAACTCCTGCGGGATTACCCACTGCAACCATCGCTTTTGTTAGGGCTGGGGAGAAGATAACAACATCTGCCAGGACCTCCTCTGGCATGCTAACATCTGCACAGGACTGGGAGCTGAAAGTCAACCTGGGGGAGGCAGTTGAAGTTTCTAAAAACTGTTGGCATAACATCGCTGAGGCCAGACATGGTGCTGATCTCAGAAGCCTCCAAGCAGATCATCTCTTAGAACTCTCAGTCCCCTGGGAGGATCGTATTGAAGAGGCCAAAGAGAGGAAAAGATCTAAGTACACAGAGCTGGTAGTAGAGTGCTGAAGAAACGACTGGCGAGTAAAGTGCGAGAGCCCATTGAGGTGGGATGTAGAGGGTTTGCAGTCCAGTCTCTCTGCAGGGTCTACAACATGCTGGTCAGTAGACAAAGGGGCATTAAGTTGGCCACAGAGGCAACAGAGTTTGCTTCAAGGTGGCTGTGGATCAGGAGAGGAGAACCGTGGGTGGGGTAGTGCTACCTGGACACACGTCTGAGCTTGATCAATCCCAACTGGGTTGCATGGGCGAGGTTATCTGATTGTTGAAAGACCCGATGACCCCAGGAAACATCACTGATGATGTGTCTCGAAGCATCACATAGTGAAGCTGATGTGATTTGTGATTGATAGAACTAAATGTTGCTTTTGATGTGTCTGCTTTTCTTCTGTTCTCAGTATCGTTTGGAGACGTTCATGGAGTCCAGATCTACTGAATGGAGTCAGGAGCCTTATACAGGTACCCGGACGTCAGATAGGGCATGTTTACCTTCATGCTGTCTTTTGCTTTCATTTACACTTGACCACATCTCTGAAAAATGTATACAAATCTGATTTCGTATTCCTGCACTGTATTCAAATTTTCCATGATGATGCAAATGCCAGGAAGGGAAATTTTGCTGTGTTTAATGTGGCTCATAATCAATAAAAGCATAACATTTCAGGTCAGCCTGTGGACGCTGGTGTTCAGCCTGCTCCAGGTCCGTGGCAGATTGCAGCTCAACCTCCGGCCTTCTTTCAAGAGCACAAGCAGACCATTAAAGTGCCATATACTTCCTCAGTCAAGGTTTGACCTTTAACCACACGATCCACAAAAAAACTAAACGAGCAGGTTCCATTCGACACACTTTAGCCACTTTTCCACTGTTGGGAATCGAATGCTTCTAAGAACGGTAAGAAGACTCAGAATTGGTCACTTGATCGTCGTCTGGCTACTAGTTTCTCTCTGTAGCTGACCAAGCGCACTGTTTGACGGAAGTAAATAGAAATATCTAATCATCCTCCATAACATCTCATACCATATATAAACACTAGCGTTTTCCAAGGCAATGACTGATGCATTTGTATTGGAGCTCTTTTATCAGCCACACAGTGGAAAATGAAACCATATCAATATCGGCTGGGATGGATTGGCATGGAATGGAACAATTAAGCCTGAGAACGGTTTGGCCTGATGGTGGAAAAGTGGCTACTATATCACAGCATTTCTGCATGAAACCAACACTTTCTAAAGGTGTTGGCAGCATTTTATTTAATCTTCCAAAAGATCACAAGAACTTTAATTTTGATTGTTCTGTTTGTAGAGCTATTATAGAATGCAACATTCGAGTTCCAGAAGCAAAAGCCCCATTCATTTTCTCAATACAGTACTGAATTTAAAACAGTAACTTAAAGACAAATGCTTTAATCATTTTATTAATTAAGGCTTTGTTTTAGCCCATTAGCCTGTATTATTTCTTATTAAACTTATTTTAACAAACTTATTTTTTAAATAATAATGTTTAGATCCAGAATTCATGTTGAAGAACTACATTACCCATGATTCTGCAAAGAAATCTCCACCAATCAGAGAATCGTGACAAGCAAATCACACAAAAAAACACCCACTCAGCAGAAGCACTGAATTTTATTTAATAGTCTCTCTGCTCTTTCAAAATACTTAAATACTTAAAGTATTTGAAAATTGGACCATAGGTCAGGTAAACATGCCAGTAATGGTTATGTTCAATAAGTCAGATCATATTTTAGAGCATTATATTCTGTTTGTACACTAGAACTGTCACTTTTGTCTGGGAATGGGAAGAAACCCCTGTACCACCTGTGCTGGAGCGGGAAACGTAAGTAAATTTTGACTAACACAGACCAAACCAGCTGCATGCCGGGCATTTCTTTCTTCTCAAATGTTTTTTCACAGAGTAAAATATGGCACTTATATTGAGAAAAAGTATCTCTTTGTGTGGTGCCTGGGGGAAGAATTCAAGCTGAATTGTATTGGAAATGTGCACACAAGCCACAGAATGTTTTTTCTTTCAGTTCATCATATGACGTAAAATACCTTAACATATCAACTGTTTGTCCTCTATTGTTGTCCATGTGCAGAAAGTCTGTTGGGTGTGTAATGGTTCTGGTTACCGTCAATCTGATGACCGCTGCATGCACTGCAATGGGCGCGGGCGTGAAAAGTAATGAGACATTTCTTTAAAATAGGTTTCTCTCTCAAAAAAAGTTGATTTTTTAAATTATTTATTTTACTTGATTTGTGTTTATTTTACTTATTTCATTTTACTTTAAATTATTTTTAATTTGATTTTATTTTATTTTATAATTTTTGAATTTTATTTTTATTCTATTTCAATTAGGGGTTGAACGACTTCTGATTTTTTGAAGTCGACTTTTATGTAATGAAAGTCGAGTCGAAGTCGACTAGTCGCTGATGACGTCATTAATGTACAAATAAGTCTGGAGCTGTGACAAACACTTTGTGCACGGCTATGGCATATGACACAGCGCTGCCCACATGGCTATTGCTCCTATAACAGTTTTTTTATCAGTTCTTTTGTCTTTAGGTCGTTATATTTCTCACAGATTTCTGCTCATTCTAAATCAGATACAGATAAAGTAGCACAGTAAAGATTACATTCATATGAATGCATTAGTGAGAGCGATTGCGTGTGTGAATTAATTCTACCTGGCAGCGTCTCTCTACTAGTAGTGAAGCTGTGGAATTTAGTTATTAAGAAATATATGCTTGAACTTTTCAGGTTCTAAGCTATTTAATTGAGAAATCACAGAACAGTGTTGACAATACATTTCCGCGCTGAATGATTCTGTGCGCGTGATGTACGCGCTACTGTCTGTAGCCTATGTGTGTGTGCGTTACAGTGAAGCAGCGCATTAGATTAGAACGGCGATTAATTTACCTGTACAATAAGCTGTTTAAAACGTGCATTCTCCCGTTCAATTTCGAGCATCCAGTAATATAATCTCACATGGCTTGCGGAGCGCTTTCAGAGTATGCATTTATTTGTCATTTGAACTGTTTGGAAACGGAGCGTAAATGTGGAAGTCCTTCAAAGATTTCTTATCCTGTTGCGCCCTCTATAGGACCAGCGACTACCAGTCGACGTCAAGCTTAAAGCGTCATGGCAGAGCATTGAAGTCGACTAGTCGATGCAACCCCTAATTTAAATTCTATTTTATTTTGAATTCTGATAGAGTCCTGCAGGGGGCTTCAGTGGTTTGGTAATTGGTATTTTCTGAGTTTTGGTTTGTCTGGCATCTTTCAGCTGTAGTTCATGTAGCGGCAGCGGCTCTTGCCAGTGTGACACCTGCCATGGAAAGAGACAGCTGCTCGTCTTCATTAACCTCATTGTTAAATGGTATGATGATCTACATGATATACATTTATGTTTGCTAAGGAAGGCATGGCTATTACCTCAGCATTACCTCCTCAGTCACCGTTTGTGCTAGACATGAATCCTGCAGTTTGTCGAGGAGAGGTGTGCTGTTATGACTTTCATTGTCATTCTTTGCACAAGAAAGCACCATTTATAGTTTCTTTGAAATAATAGAAATGAAGTCAACATTATTCATTATTTTATGATATTCAGAAGTCTTTCAAATTGAACTCTCTTATTCTGAAACCTTTTGGACCACTTCAGGAGCACTGAGAAGGACGAATTCATAGCACAAGACTCAAGTGGTCTGAGAGTGGAAAATCTGGAGAAGGTTTCAGGGAAGGAGCTCTTCAAAGATGCCCAATATATGGTAATAACAGACAGTACATATAGTGAGAGGTAAAAAGAAACTTGAAATTTGTAAGTTCATTAGATGGTTGTATGTTTACTGTAGGTCTATCCAGTGAGGGGCTTTCCAGATGTTTCTGTTGCACAAGCTTCTGAGCGCTTAGTAAGAGACCATCAGGTGAAATACGCCCAAACATCCCTCATATTACAACAGGTACTGCTGTCTTTGTGTGCTTCCAGGCCTTTTTATTTTGTAATTTTTTATCACTTGATTATTATAATCCATAATTTCCAATTACAATTTGTATGTTTTAACACAAAACAATGTAATGCACAACCTTTGCTATATCATTACCAGTCTGTCTAACTAGAGACAATCATCATGCTGAAACTTGAATCTGTCATTCTGTAATTTAATCTGTTTCAGAGGCAGACGATCGAGCTCATTCCCATAACCAAAGTGAACTACATGTGGAAAGGAAAGCCTTATGTTTACTATGTGTATGGAAATGAGTTTAAAGTGAACGCTGATGACTATCCCGCCACCTGCTGCTGTTCTGTGATGTAACATCAAATACACCTGACCTGATGTACAGTATAATATAAATGCTGTATATCCGTTAAGATGAACAAATGTAATGTCTTTTGCCTATACATCCCAGAATCATGACATCTGTAGCTAACAGACACAAAATGCAACCTGTCCGAATGGGGCATTGTTTATGCAGCTTAAATTCTAACCATGTACATATACAGTGGGTACGGAAAGTATTCAGACCCCCTTAAATTTTTCACTCTTTGTTATATTGCAGCCATTTGCTAAAATCATTTAAGTTAATTTTTTTTCCTCATTAATGTACACACAGCACCCCATATTGACAGAAAATGAAGGGGGTCTGAATACTTTCCGTACCCACTGTATGTAACATTTTATGTCACCTGACTCAATATGACCAAATGTGAATTACTAAACCTCTTATAGATTAATGCATTTTTCAGAAGACCTAACTATTGAAGAATATGAAGTATAGTCAGTAGTAAATCTATAAACAAAAATAATGTATTGAGATTAAGAAAGTCAAAATAAACTGTGAATAAACTTTCTTTTTCTTTTTGTATTTTATTTGTATTTTTGTTTTTTTGTTGTTTTTTTTTGGATGATTGGAAGAAAGTGACCTGGTCACATGAATCAAGATTCCTGGTGCATCACGTCGACGACTGAGCGCGGATACGCCGATTACCAACAGGCTATGGTACCTGGATTCACTGTTGTGCGGCCACAGGCCAGCGGCTGTGTTATGCTGTGGGCGAGTTTTCTGGGTTGGGATGTTTTCTTGGGACACTTTAGTCCATATTATGCAAATAGCTAGAGGTCGACCGATATGGGTTTTTCTCTGGCCGATGCCAATATTTAGAAATCAGGGCAGCCAATGGCCGATATATGATGCCGATTTTTTTGGCTGATTCACATACATAAACAAAAATCTGGCCCTAAGGCTCTGTTTCTTTACTGAAAGTTAATCTAAACAAGTATGGAAACTGTCCAAAGCTCTGTTAATCCTAAAACAGTGAAAACTCTATATTCAATGTAATTTGTGGTCACCAAGTTTTTTTTTCCACCTTAAAAGGACACAGATGTGTCCTTTGAAGGTGAACAAAAACTTGGTGAACACAAATTAACCATGGTTTTGCTACACTCTAACCATAGTTTAACCATGGTATTTGTAGTAAACTGTGGTTATACAAAAAAACATGGTTCCGTTTTACTATAGTAAAACCATATGTATTTGTGTATACTTTCTTTTTTTCTGTGTTTTGTTCTTATATCGGTACTGCCTTAAAGGTGACATATCATGAAAATCTGACTTTTCCAGGTTTTAAGTGCTATAATCAGGTCCCCAGTGCATCCACGAACCAAGGAAACGTGAAAAAGATTAACCCAGTAACTTTGTTTTGGTAAGCCTTTTTCTGCAAGCATCTGAGAAAACGGGCGCGTCTGATTTCGCTCCCTTGGTCACGTGGCAAAGGGATCTCATTATAATATTACTGCCCTTTAATCTGCACGTTTCCACGCACGGCGCCGTCATTTTGATTTTGCAAGCGACATTGGTGTACCAGTTCTAATGCCATGACGAAAGTTTGAGCAAAACATGCTAACTGTTCTGTCTTTGGCTGCACAGACGAGCACAGAACACTATTTACAGTCCCAGCCTCAGAGGAGACAAGAGAGCAGTGGATTTATTGATTTATTTAATGTATATTGCTGCTGCCACACAGATCTAAAATAAACATGCAATTTATTTTCCAGCTGTTTACCTTCACAAACATAACCGACTGTTTTTATAACTCGTGTGTTTTTAACATAAACTTGTGTGTGAATGAGAACTTAGTTTAGTACTCACATGCTGTGACAGCCGCTTTCTGTCCGTGTGCACTCAGAAAACCGTATATCAGAAGTTTAAACTAATATGGTTTAAAACGCATGATTTCAGTGCGATAAACATGATAATCAGAACCAAAACAGATGTTTTTAGCAGGTCCGAGCTGTAATGGTGCAGCTCTATTCTGGAAAAGGGGGCGGGGAGCAGCAGCTCATTTGCATTTAAAGAGAGAGGCCCGAAAACAGCGTTTCTGCTTCCACTCAAAATAGGCATTTTCAAAATGATATAATAAATGATCTGTGGAGTATTTTGAGCTGAAACTTCACAGACACATTCTGGGGACACCAGAGACTTATATTACATATTGTAAAAAGGGTCTTAATATGTCTCCTTTAATAGTTTGATGTTTTGCACTGTTTAATAAAAAAGAAATCAGAAAAAAATATTCACAATACATGCACTGAAGTCCCAATCTAAATCAAATGATTTGTGAACCCGCACTGTCCCAATCTGAATCAAATGATTCTCGATCCACGCTCTGAAGTTCTGATCTGAATCAAAAGATTCACAAACCCTCTCTGAAGGTCCGATCTAAATCAAATTATTCCCGATCCGCGCTCCGTAGTCCCGACCTGAATAATGATTTACAAAACATAATTTCAGATCGGAACTTTGGAGCACGTATCACGAATCTTTCAATTTGCGAAATGATTCACGATCTGCTTTGACGTTACAGTCTAAATCAAAAGATTCACGAACCCGCTCCGAAGTTCCGATCTAAATCAAAGGATTCGCAAAACACGCTCCGAAGTCCCGATCTGAATCAAATGATTCACAATCTGAAGTTCCGACCTAAATCAATAGATTCACAAACCTGCTCCGAAGTTCCGATCTAAATCAAATGATTCGCGATACACTCTCCTGATAATGATTTGTGAACCATCATTCAATTGGCGAAATGATTCGCAAACCGTCCCCAATCTGAATCAAAAGATTAACGAACCTGCTCCGAAGTTCCTCATGTCCCTAGCATCCCTACTTAATCTATACCCTTGCCTGACAGCTGTCAAGTATCTGAACACTATTGCGGACCAAGTGCACCCATTCATGGTAACTGTGTTCCTTGTACTTCTGTGCTCAGTGATTTGAGGAACATGATGGTGAATTTATGTTAATGCCTTGGCCTCCAAATTCACCAACTGAAAAGCGGGTTTGCACTACATCACCACCACTCCACGGTGTACCGGTGTTGTGCCCATTTCTGAGCCCCTGCCAAATTATTACCCCTCTCGTTGAAATCGCTATCCGATTGCCTAATCCTAACCCCACCCCTAATCCTAACCCCTTCCCCACAACTAACCCTAAACCTACCAATACTAGGGGGGTAATAATCTGGCAGCGGTCAGAATTGGGCAAAACACCGGAACTAGAGGACCTGCTGTTGACATTATGGTACCAGATAACCCAGGAGACCCATCGCTACCTCATCGAATCAATGTCTCGCTGTGTGGCTGCTGTTTTGTGGGCTAAAGGAGGTCCTACAGGTTATTAGGTAGGTGGTCATAATGTAATGGCTCATCTGTGTATTTTGTAAATATAAACAGATTTTGATGGCTGTAACAAACTCCAAAAGAGTTAGGACAGATCCATGTTTAACACTGTTACATCAACTTGTTTTTTTTATCTCATTCAGGCGTGGCAGCCCCCCCCCCTGCGGCAAGCATCCATGCACCCCCTTATCCACCTCCTGCACCCATGTTCAATACTGGCGGAGGTGGTAAGAAGTGTGCAAGTTATGTCTTTAATAAGATATGTCAGCATGAGAAAATGTGCATTCAAATCATGTCGGATAAATCGTATTTACGAGTTGACCGCACATGAATGACATCACAAGTGGGAAAGTTTTCTTTAAACCTTGAGTTTTCGAATTGGTGGTACATAGTTGCATGTCTCTCTTGGTGCACAACCAGTGAAAAACTTACCTAACTGCTTTTTTTTTTTTAAATCTCATTCATTCATGGGAGTTTTGAGAAAGGACCCCAAAAAATTTCAATATTCTAATCTTATCTAATCTTACTGGTTAATGATCAACTAATGAGCTTCGGTTGTTGCTCAGGAAAATGAAAATGAATAAAATGCTGTCATTATACATTTCTCCACCAGATTTACTCTGCTGCACGCAAGTTCAGGCTAACTCAAAAACTTGCGTAAATGAGCTGAGACCTGACGTGAGATTTGATTGTAGCCACGGCTCATGTCCATATTGATAAACTCCAAGTTTTGCATAGAAACGACCGTACACCCAGTTTTCTGTTGTATGACTGTTTCGTAAATGAGGCCCAATATGTCTTAATTGATACGTGTTAAAGACATTCAAAGCTCAACAATAAGGATTTTATCAGGTTCATATTTTTTATTTGTCCTGCCAACATTCATGAAATAGCTGATTGATCATTAAATAGTTGTTTTAATGACATTTTGATAAGTTAAAAAATTTCAGTTTTCATTTATTGTTTACTGTCGTGGCAATTTTCCATTTCAATGAAGGTATGAGACAACAGTCTTTTGAAAATTTATTTCTTTTGCAAGAAAATGGTCATACAGTCATTCAAAGTCGGCAGCAGAGTGTGACAAAAGAAGGAACACCTTGACTCAGTATTTATATCTCAATCAAACCAGGATGCTTTTATCTCAACCAATCATAATGCATATTCAACAAATCAGAATCAGATCAGAATCAGAATGAGCTTTATTGCCAGGTATGTTTACACATACGAGTCGGGAAAGTAAGACCTCGCGCTCGCGGGACAGCACTGGTCGAAATCTTCCAACTGAACCATAGCCAAGGTTTATCCAAAAAGGTCGCTAGGTTTGTCAGTATGAATATTCTATGGAAAAAAAGCCGCTAAAAGGGTCTGAAAGTTGCTAAATCTAGTAAAATAAACACCGGTATTCGGTATGCGTAACCGCCCAGCACTATAGCGGAGTTCATATAAAAGGCATCTTTCCTTTTATCATTAAAGGTGACCTATTGTGCCCCTTTTTACAAGATGTAAAATAAGGCCCAATCCCAATTCTACCCCTTAGCCCTTCCCTGTCTCGATTCTCTTTTGGTTGGAGGGGTAGGGGTAAGAGGAAGAGCCAGATAGCCCTTCAAACGAAGATTTTTCGGGACCACACTTCAAACGAAGGGGTATGAATTATCTCCAATTCGAGAAAGAGAAAGAGAGAGATGAAAGTTGCGTGTGCGCGTCTGTGCGTTTCTCTTTTTAGAGTGAGTTTACTTCAAAAACAGCGATTTTATCCTCTAGTTGCTGGAAAATATAACGAGCGATTCAGTATTTAAACTGTTATTAATAAAAGTCCTGGGGCAGCGTTGACAAGTTTCTTTGCTCCTGGATGTGTGAGCTGCGCGATATCTGATGTGTGTGTGTGCGCGTCTGCGTGTCAGTAAACAGTGCATTAATATAGAACAGTAATTAAAGGCTCTAATGCACACCAGCACACCAGTATATGTGTGTGTATTGTAGGAGCAAGGAAAACTTGAAATCGCATCATATGACCCCTTTAAGAGCTCAACAATAAGCATTTTATCAGGTTCATATTTTTTATTTGACCTGCCAACATTCATGAAATAGCTGATTTATCATTAAATAGTTGTTTTTAGTGATATTTTGATAAGTTTAAAAATATCAGTTTTCATTTATTGTTTACTGTCGTGGCAATTTTCCATTTCAATGAACGTATGAGACAAAAGTCTTTTGAAAATTTTTTTTTTTTGCAAGAAAATGGTCATACAGTCATTCAAAGTCGGCAACAACAAAACAGAAAAATCTCAGGCAGAGACAATGGTAGCTTTAGCATCATTAGCCTTAAAGAGTGCCAAGGAGCTCTTTCAGAAAGGCAATTTGGAAAACAAAATATGACATGTGAACTCCAACAAAAATCCAACATGGAACTGACCCTCGTTTGTGAGGCAGTCTGGTGTAAATTAATAGGCACAAGCATACTGTATACTGTAGGACTTTTGGCGCTGACATTGTATATCTGCAACAGCTAGCTACAGCAAGAAAACAGTAATGGCGGATTGCTGCTTCTCACTCACAGGGCTGTTTATGCTAATAGGGCAGAGATCATCACAAATGGGCAGGATTTCTGCCTACAATGATGTCAACGTAGGGACAAATCTGGAATTGCGTGTTCAGAGAGACTGTTTATGATTTATTGGGATTATAAACAAATGATTTTGGTGGATGTTAACCATTACAGGCTGGTTGTTTTCACACACTGTGGCCACACAACACCTTATAAAAGTAATTTTTGCATTATAGGTCCCCTTTAATGCAGCATTTATTCTGACTGATTCTAGGCTAGGTACAGTTGTGGATTCTACTGTAAATATTGTTTTGTTACCATTTTGGTGATCAGTTTTCCATTTGACTGTAGTTTTCATTCATTTAAATTTTTAGAGTTGTTATTTATTTAGTGCTTTATCTCTGCAACAGTCTGTTAAATATTTCACTGAAGAGCCCAGTGGTTCTAACTATGGAGGTGGGGCGTTAAACCACAGACCTGTAAACTCTTCAACCATTATCTCGGAAATATCTCTGTCTTCCGATCATAAGTCACAAGCGTCAGAACGTGAGCTTCTTTACAGATATATAATCTTCATCTGTCTCTTCTGAGTTGAGCAGCAACAAGATACAAGAAAGTAAGTCTCTGATTACGTCTGTTGAAAAGAAAGCCTTTTGAGAAAAGAAAACATTTGGCTAATAATATATATATACAGTATAATTATAATTAATTATAACATATACAGTATATATATATATATATACTGTATATAATGTTTAATCATGTAAATAAGTAAATTAATTGCTATATAATTAATATTATTATAGCGTATGCAAAAAGTATCCTATTTCTGAATGTGCTTTTTTTTAGCCAATTTAATGAGAGAATGTAAAAAATTTCAATTTATCAGTGTTTGATATTGCTTGGCTGAAAAGAAGTTACTAAATATAACTGATGATGATAAGCAAATACAAAACTGCATCAATTTGTTGTAATTGTTTTCTTGCAAGCATGTTTGACGGCATCCCAGGATATGAGGGAATTGCGGCAGGTGGAGGTGGTAAGAAGCACAAAACAATATTAATTCCGTAATTTTTTTCTTAATTATGTATTAATAAATTATATATTATATCACATTATTTCATTATTATTGCAAGAATTAATAGGGCCTCTACCATATAACAGCATTCAAAAGTTTGGGGTCTGTGATTTAAAATTTTTTTTTTTACCTGAAAGAAGACTGAAGAGTTATGCCCACCAAGTCTGCATTTATTTGATCAAAAATAAAAACAGCAATATTGTGAAATATTATTACAATTTAAAGTACATTTTCAATTTTAATATATTTTAAAATGTATTGTTTTTTCCTGTGATGGAAAAGCTGAAGTTTCACAAAGTTCAGAAGAACAGCATTTATTTGAAATAGAAACTTTGTTTATAAATGTCTTCACTGTCACTTTTGATCACTTTAATGCATCCTTGCTAAATGTATTAATTTCTTTCAAAAAATCTTACTGACCTCAATTTTTGTGAATGGTAGTGTATATACGGTTTCATTAAATGATTAATTATACAATTTAAAAAAATATGAATTGCAGGGCCTCACTTGCTAAGGATCCAAGTACATGTAACCCTTTTTTTTGGAAACAGAAGGAATTGGAAGAAAGAGTACTAAACAGTTGATGTGTTAACTTTCATGGTTGCAGTGGTATAGCTTCTAGATTTTAGAATTTGGATGCTGGACGGATTACTGGAGTTATAAACAGTGGTCTCTTGTGAATGTTCTTGTGACAGGTGCGTATCTTCCTCCTCCAATGCCTTCTGTGCCAATGCCTGTGCCCGAACACGCTTCCAGCCATCCAGAGTGGCAGTACGTTTTTTCTCTGTCAAGTCACATTTATTTATATAGCTCTTTATACAATACAGATTGTTACACCGATTTCCAATTGGTGTAAATCAAGTTTTTAACACTGTTTACATGTCTGTCTGGTGTTTTTAATAGTCAAGCCAAAGGCAAATGATATCAGTTATTGTGTCTGACGTTGTAGAGAGCGATACATAAAATGCATTTCCATTCTGATACATCGACTTGTAAACGACCCTGTATAATTGAAATCAAAAACTTGGCTTTTCCTCTGCTTCGTCGGAATCGGTTTCTGGTTCAAATATATACGCCTGAATTAATCCAATATTGCTAATATTGTGAAGCGTTTATTACTTCAGTTAACTGAGTGAAAGTGGAGCCGGTAGTCAGAACTGCTGTGATTGAGTGGAGGCTGGGACTAATTTGCATATTCACGATCTTCGTATATGAAATGAGGTAGATTATATTCAAGCTATTTTAACGCATGAGGAAATTATTTTCATGAAAAAAAGTTAAAATGTCATTTTGATTATTAAACATGAGTTTTATGAAATAAAACGGGGATTTTAATGTTGTAAAATAAAATTCATCAATTATGAAATAGCTGTAATGCAGCTCTACAGAAGATCATGAATGGTCCTTCAAATCAGTTCAATAAGCCTGTCGATGTTGCAATGTTAGTGCCATTATAGTTCAAATTTTGTCACTATTTTGTCAAATAGTGTCAGTGCAGTTAAATTGATAATATTACTGAATATGAATTCAATTACTTTACTGTCTTTGTGCTTAACATGGTGATTTCTCAAACTGACTCCTGTTGAATGTTCATATAATGTATTATTCAACATATCTGCATGTCAACAGTATATCAATATCTTCCTGTTAGCAACAACATTCCTTCCATCTCAGAGGGAAGAGCGCATCAAGCTTTTGAAGAGTACGTCTCCAGCAAGTGCTGCTATAGTTCTGCCCCGGTCAGAGAGGGGGTCATAACTAATATGGAGTCCTTTAATACCTACAGGGTGAGACCTAATTTTCATTATGAGCTTGGTGATATTATAATTCATTTTGAGCATGTGGAGCAGAAATGTACAAGTAAATATGCATAAATATGGAGTTGGTTTGGCTTTATAGAGCCAAGTGTTGATAGATGTATTCATGAAGTCTGTCTTTTTGTTCTGTTTTTGTTCTCAGTATCGTTTGGAGACATTCACAGAGTCCAGATCTACTAAATGGAGTCAGGAGCCTTACACGGGTACTGACAGTCAGTGTTGGGGAAAGTTACTTTTAAAAGTAATGCATTACAATATTGCGTTACTGCCTACAAAAAAGTAACTAATTATGTTAGTTACTTTTTATGGAAAGTAATGCATTACGTTACTTTTGAGTTACTTTTTAAATCTGGGCAGGGCTTGCATGTATGTTTTTTTTTATATAAAAAAGTTCTTTTACAAATGTAAAAGCCCTTTCACAACAGAAGTGAAATTAATACGCCTCAGGCTGAAGGAAATGTAAATTCACGTCTGTACAGTAGAGAGCGCAGCTCAAACTAATTGCATGAAGAATATGACGCAAGAGAAGAAAGTTCAACACTATTCAGCAATAACACAAATGAAACACAAATGTGTCATTTTTGCTTATTAGTATTATTCATCGAAGGTCAGTATAGCAAAGACATTGGGTAATAAAATGGGATTAAATACATAAATGATGTTTGTCTTATTTAACATATTTAATTATTGCATGTTTGTATAATATTCTGAGTTTGCATTTGACTGTTTTTATTCATTTTGAGGAATACTGAATCTGTTTTTGTGCAGGTGAGATGAGTAAATACATGTTCATCTCTGCACTTACTCCCCATTTCTCTCAACACGAGGAAAGGAGAGCTGTCAGTAAATGCATGGGAAACAAAGTAACTGGCGTTACTTATGTGAAAAAGTAACTCAGATATTTCCTTTGAATTTCAAAAGTAATACGTTACTTTACTAGTTACTTTAAAAAAGTAATCTGATTGCGTAACTCGCGTTACTTGTAATGCGTTGCCCCCATCACTGCTGACAGTCAATAAAGAGATTCTTGTTTAGGCCGCGTTATATTTGCTGAATGAAATCCAATACTTGATTCTTACTAATTTTGGGGTGCCGATTCCAAAATAGTTCAAAATGTTGCTCAAACACATCACACTTTCTCAAAATATGATGCATTTCATAACATTTTTGCTTTCGACAACCATTTGTAAAGTGAAGAAGTCTTGTATCCCTTAATCAGTAGAAAACTGCCACAAATACATGATTCATATATTCTTCTGAGCCAGATTACAACTATTTGTTCAATTCTTAGCTGATTTTCACATGTAAGCTCAACTCTCTCTCAGGGCAGCGTGTTGATGCCGGCATTCAGCGTCCTCCAGGACCGTGGGAGATCGCAGCTCAACCTCCGTCCTACTTTACTGACCACAAGGAGACCATTAGAGTGCCTTACACTTCCTCAGTCAAGGTTTAATCAGACACTGTTCACAAAAATAGCCAATGAAAACAACAGAGCCTGCAGCAAATACTGTATCAGAACATTTTTTTTTTATGAAACATAATCGTCTTTAACTATGAAGCTTTTGGTAGCACTTAATTTTAAGAAAAAAAAAAAAAAAAAAAAAGTCATGTATTAACTATGAAGCTTTTGGTAGCACTTAATTTTAAGAAAAAAAAAAAAAAAAACAAAGTCATGTACGTATCTTGTTTCTTGTCGTATCCTAGAAATGTAACCCGTGCAGTGGAATGGGAAAAAACTCCTGTTCTTCCTGCACTGGAACTGGAAGTGTAAGTGACATCTTATTGTGTTTGGATCAAATGATTAGAGGAGGTTATATTATCGTATATGAAATGCCTCTTTTATGTCTGTCTTAATGCAGAAAGTGTGCTCTGGATGTAACGGTTCTCGTCAACGTCCTGATAATGAGTCCTGCAATAAATGTGACTATAGAGGACGTGAAAAGTAAGTCAGCCATTCTCCATGTGGCAACTTTTCTTTGTATTTTCTAACATTTGATAAAATGATAGAAACCTCAAGCCATCGCTCATTTAGCTAACATTTTACAAACATTAAAAACATAATGGACATTTTCTCACAACCTTTAAAGGGGTCATATGATGTTGCTAAAAAGAAATGTGTTTATGCGGTTTAAGGTTCAAAAAACACATTATTTTCCACATACTGTACATTATTGTTTCTTCTCTATGCCCCGCCTTTCTGAAATGCGTCGATTTTTACAAAGCTCATCGGTCTGAAAAGCGAGGTGTGCTCTGATTGGCCAGCTATCCAGTGCGTTGTGATTGGCCGAATACCTCAAGCGTGTGAGAAAGGAAAAATTGAAATCGCATCATATGACCCCTTTAATTAATGAGCTGATTAAAATGACTTTCCAAAACTGCAGAGCAATAAATGACCAGAAGAGCTAGAATCTCCAGGAAGATAATGTGCATGCATTCATTTTTTCAGATTATATTAACAGAAATATTCCAATAGCATGTACAGCATGTAAAGGGCATTTTCTAAATGAAAGCTTAACCAAAATATAACTTTGGGTAACACTTCACAATAAGGCTCCATTTGTTATCATAGTTATAAACAACATGAACTAACAATGAAAATTACTTGAATAGTATTAATTTTAGTTAAATGTTAATTTCTTAATTTACTAAGTCATTATTAAAATTAAAAGATGTATCTGTTAAGATTATTTAATGCACCTGAGCTGATATTAACTAACAATGAAGTGAATGTGTAGTATATATATGTATGTATATAAATATGATCAAAGTGAATAACTCTTTTAGTGATTGATTTTTTTAGCCTTTTTGGCCGTTTCACATTAAGAATCAAAATAATATAATATAAAAAGTTAAAAATTAAAAATAATTGTAACATTTAAAATGTCATCTCACTATTACAAAGATATTTGAATGCTAGGCTATGCAGTTTGCTATAGTAATTTTCTCAGGAAAATGTCTACAATATCAAATGTGACGTAATGTGAAGTAATGAGAAAATCAAAAGGGTGTTTTGAGAAAGGAACACATCCATTTATCTTTTTAGATTTTTTTTTAACACTTAAATATAACTACTCTGTCAAAATGTTCAATAAGACTTTTTCACTCTTTGGCATTTGCAAAGTCACGAACTTTTTTGTGACTGATTTTTGAATGATTCATAAGTATTAAAAGAACTCATAAGAGAATGAATCCTTTGAGAATTAGTTATTTTGATTCTTAGGAATCTTTGATTCTTCATGTCTCTGACTACACTGGTTGTTGTGTGTGCAACCAGTAAAGACTTCACAATAGAGAGAAGTGTTGTCTATTGATTTGGCTTAGTCTCTCATCACATTCGATTCAGACTCTAAGCTCAACTGCCATGGTGTCCTTCACTAATGTTCTACTTCTGCAGTCTTTAAACAGTTGTAAATGCATCCAGTAGAGGGCAGCTGTGGTTTGATATTTCCTAAGCATTTGTCTGGTAACTTTCAGATGTAGTTCATGTAGCGGCACTGGCTTTCACAAGTGTGACTCCTGTGATGGAAAGGGACAGCTGCTCATCTTCATCAGCCTCAAAGTTAAATGGTATTATCATCATAATTTCACTGATAATATCCTAACCCTGTCCACACTGTCAAACTCAACTGTCTCATTCTGAAAGCTACTTTTTGGGCCATTTCAGGAGCACTGAGAAGGACGATTACGTAGTGCAAGATTCGAGTGGACTGAGACCAGAAAAGCTGGGGAAGGTTTCAGGAAAGGAGCTCTTCAAAGACGCCCAGATTATGGTAGGAACAGAGGAGTGCAGAAGATAGTTAGAAAGAGTAATAAGAAGCTGAAGATGATATATGTGCAATATGGTTGTATGTTTACTGTAGGTCTATCCAGTGATGGGTTTCCCTGATGTTTCTGTTGCACAAGCATCTGAACGTTTAATAAGAGACCATCAGGTGAAATATACCAAGAACTCCCGCATATTACAACAGGTAACTATTGTATTTTATTGACAGTTGCATTATGCCATCATGATCACTTGATACCGATGAATCCTGAATGTGGTTCTTTAAATCAATTTTCTTTTGTTTCAGAGGCAGACGATTGAGCTCATTACCATAACGAGAGTGAATTACACATGGAAAGAGAAGTCCTATGTTTACTGTGTGTATGGAAATGAGTTGAAAGTGAACACTGATGACTATCCCGCCACCTGCTGCTGTTCTGTCATGTGACTCAACAACAACGCTGTACATGCAAACATCAAAACCGCTGACTGTACATCCCACATTCATCACATCTCAAACCGGACACACAAAACACCTGTCAGAGATGGCTATTACTCCGTATTTTAAAACTGTTTTAGGCAAAAGTACATTATGATCATGTAAATTTTCGTAAGATTTAAAAAAACTATGAATATTACAACTTATTTTAATGCTAGTTTACGCAAATTTTCTGAGGCAGAGTTCTGCAATGTAGCCTGCAGTAAATTTAGAAAATTCTAAATAATGTCTAAATAAAGTGAGTTTTGTGAATGGAACACAGCAATTTGCCTCTTTATTTTTGTAAAAATAAATCCATCGAATGTGAATGCTGTTTAAAAATGTAAACACGAGATTACTTTTTCACACTTCAGGTTTGCAAAAAGTAAAGTTAAAAACTACTCAGAAATCACTGGTGTCGGCCATTTCCACACGTACACGGGTATTTTTATAATCGGAGTTTTTCCTTCTTCCGTTTTTAAAAAAATCTCCGTCCACATGAAAACGCAAACGCATGCTATGAAGCGCTGTCAAGAGCATGCTAAACCAACAGGTGGCGATATAATCTCAACCGTAAAGCCATGTTGGCCAATCAGAAGCCTGAAAAAGTTTCCAGTAGGCGGAGATAACAGCGCAGGCTCCGACGTCACAAGCCAAAAACTCCGGTTTCGCTGTCTACACGATAACACTGCAACTGGAGTTTTTGAAAATCTTCACCCTGGCAGGCGTTTTCAAAAATGTTCGGTTTCAGGGACCTGGTGCTGCGTTTGCGTGTGGACAAACGGCCAAACCGCGTAGAAAAAGCTGCAGTTTTAAAAATAACCGTGTTCGTGTGGACATACTCGCACACTTTGAAGGGGATGAATGAAGAAGTGTTCATTGGTGACCAAATGTAGGGGTCCTTATTTGAATGTATAAAGTAAATGAATAAATATGAATTAAAAAAAAGAATTACATGTAACATTCACTGATACAGTAACCTCATTAGGCTTAAAGGAATAGTTCACACAAAATTGTACATTTTCTCAAACTAATCTACATCTTGTATGGCCTGAAGGTGTTTCTTCTTTATCACTGATACAGTAACCTCATTAGGCTTAAATGAATAGTTCACGCAAAATTGTAAAATTTTCTCAAACTAATCTACATCTTTTATGGCCTGAAGGTGTTTCTTCATTAGAACAAATTTGGAGAAATTAGCATTAAATTACTTGTTCACCAATGGATCCTCTGCAGTGAATGGGTGCCATCAGAATGAGAGTCCAAACAGCTGATAAAAACATCACAATAATCCACAAGTAATCTACACACCACTCCAGTCTGCATAACATGAAGGATGTGTCATCCACGTCTGCTACACCACTGTAGCAGTCGCCCTACTGATTCTGAACTGCATAATCCATGTATCATTCGTTTTTGATTTAATATTGAAAGTAGAAAAATTAAAAGAAAAGAAAAAAGAAGAAAAAAGGCTCCTTTTTCGTTTTTTTCCCCAATTAATTCAGCTTAAATTTTCGTTACCGGGGCAGAGTCTAGACGGGGCTAGACAGGGCTTTCTTCTGAGTAGACCAGTGGTTCTTATAGTGATATTTTTATTCTTAAAGATACATAGCAACACATGATCAACTTCATGCTTTATAAGAGTATAATCTTAAAAATAAAAACAATGCCATAAAAGAACCATTTTTGTTTCCCCAGTGAACCTTTTAATGAACAGTTCTTAAAATAACCTTTTTTTTCTTAGTGTGAAGAACATTTAAATAATCTAAAGGACCTTTACTTCCAATGGAAAAGTTCCATGGATAAAGCCAATAAAAAAAACTTTATTTTTAATAGAGGAAATAGTGCCAAAAAAGACCGATGCCAGAAACAACCCTGGGCGCGTGTGGTATGTACAAATCTCTTTAAACTGTAGAAACAGTAAAATGGTGCTAACATTAATCGTTATTAATCATTAATCCAAACCGCAGTCCACTATTTGAGGACCCCTGCATGGGAACGGTTGCATAAACTGCTTAGACTAGTCTTAAAAAGTTAGTAATATAATTTGTTTTCTTAAAGACTGGTCATAGCTTTGTAAAGTCTGTTACAAAAAGGTAGATTGGCCAAATTTGAGTCAGAAAAGTAAGACTGATTTCCTCTTGGCTAACTGCTAGTTGGTCAAACCATTTCTTAAGACATTTAATTTGTCCTCTATCTGCATACACACAAACTGGTTTCATATTCATAAGCAGAAAGTAGAACAGCTTATTTATGTTACAGAATGATAGTTATATAGTCACTTCCTCTTTCTCAGGTAAAGACTTATGCTTATGCTCTGAATTTTTAGTTCATAATCATGCTATGGTTTTTTTTATCTATGTCTACATCCAGTAGGGGGCAGCTTTGTGTAGCTGTTATGATGAGTCTTGATTTTAAAATGTTTTTTAATCATGCTTGAACAAGTTCTTAATGGTTCATTAGTGCAATAAAATTGTAATAATAATAATAATTTTATTACTAGCAATACATATATCCAGCTTCTATTTTAAAGTCACATTTTGTCACTGAGAAAAACAATTTTTGAAAGCCTCAAACTAAAAGACTTTCAATAGTTGAGAACTGCACAGAGACTTGACATAGTATATGACATGTTTATACATGAGACATTTAAAATGTAAAAGTAACCAAATTAATTTAACAATGACATTGATTTTAAAGCCACTACAGGTCTGTGGTTATGTGTGCTTCAGTTCCTCATGAATGTGCAGATGATCTTGAGTTACATTTCCAGAGAAATCTTTTTTGAAATCAAAGTTGACAGGTGTGACATTAGGCATGAAGTCAATGCATGAAGATCTTCAGTCCTCTTATCTGTGACAACATGAGGCAGCTTTATGTGCTTCTACCGGCCCTTTGGTCACTCATTAGTAAGTACATGAGATTCCTTTCGTTTTTCTTTATATTTTGTGTCTACATTTTTAATAATGCAGTTTTTCTGCCTTTTTTTTGTATAGATCCATCTCATTCATTATTCAATGATTATCACCCTTCAATGACAGGTATGTAATTTGACATTTTCCTATCTAATATCTACATAATATAATTTTAATAGCAATTGAAAGGCCTGACACAAGATTTGTGCAAAAAAATAAAGTAAATTCATGGTAAATTTTTCTGAGTTCTAAATCCATATTGGGGGACACAACAATATGACTGAAAACAATAAGTAAACAATAATCTTACAGTGTTACAGACACACATTTCAGACCTGTTTCCAGTAACATAACATATACAGAGGTTAGTTTTGGATTAATATGCACAGTGATTGTTTTACCTTTTTTGCTGTAGCACCAGTAATCAAAATTGTGTCTTTATTGTACTATTTTTCTAATATCAGCACTAAACTGGATCACCCAAAGTATGTCTTTAATTATTTTATAACACTGTAAGGAATGGTTTTTCAAAAGTAGTAAATAAAACAGATTTTGAGAGTACTTTTTGCAAGAAAAATATTTCAATTTTCTACTTCAAAATTTCAAAGTTCAATGTGTTACTTGTAGTTTCGTTTTAATTTTTTGTGAAATTTACAACCAGTTTCTGGGTGAAAACGGTTTCTACATCAAATGTTTAGGTGTTGTTATGTCTGACTTTTTTTTTTTTTGTACACAAAATATATATGTCTTATTTCTAAACGCTTACATTTGTCCGTTTTGTAGGTTTTCTGAGCCTATAAACTGTTGAATTATTTATCTCGTCAGTGTGTTTCAGATGCTCCAGTGCCCATCATCACAGTGTACCAGCAGATGGAGGACAGAGAGCATGTGATCGTCATGTGTTCGTTTGGAAGAAGGTTTATTGAGAGCTCCTTGCAGCTGTCAGTGGACTATGAACAGAACTACACCCTGAAGAACCCAGCATGCATTGCACATGATGTGTGTGTGTTTAACATCACTGTGAGGCCTCCTGTTTCTCTGACATGTATACATGAGATCATTACCTTTGGAAATGACAGTTATCTGCTGAGTGAGTCCTACGGTCAGTCTGATAAAATACTGATGTATCTGTAGATGCATTTCTGTGAAAGATAACACAAAAATTATGATTCTGTATGTACAATCAATGGTAGATATCATATGTACACATATAGATAAACATCGTCTGTATTTATCATAATTTTCATGCAGTCTTAGAGCATCATGATGGAGTATCTTCATTCTACATTGGCTTTTTCTCCTTCATTGTTGTTGGTGTCATTATAATGACTGCTGCAGTGATCGTTACCAACATTAGAAGCAATGCACAAGGTGTGTGTTTTGTCAATTATTCATTAATTTAAAGCAACAGTGGATATTATGAAATGACCACAGATCAAACCTAAACTAAATCAAACTGCAAACTCAAAATAGCAGTTTAATTTGTTTCAACACAGATTTACTCTCTGAATGTAAACACTTAAAATATTGATGTACAAGAGAAAAACAACTCACGCATGTATATCTATGTTCTTTCATGACAGATTCCAATAATGACTATGTGGATGTCTGAAACTCTGAATAACATAGCGGATTACTGACAACGTAAAACAGACATAAAGGATGATCTGATCTGGAGGGGGGCAGCTTCTCATCTTCCTAAAACAAATAAAATGTCATATACACTGAAAAAAAATGGTGTAGGATTTACTTTGTAATTATTAATTACATAATTATTAATTAATAAATGTAGCTATTTTTCAGTGAAAATTGCTTCAAAGAAACAGCAAGAAATCAAAATTAAAGTTTTTTGGGTGTTAGTATCAATATGTTAGTCTTAAGGTTATCTATAAGGCAGTGTGCTCCAAAACAGTGACAAAATTCGCATTTAGAAGATATAAGCATTCAAAGCTTGCAGTTCATCACTTCTGCCAAAACGGCTCAACGATATTTTTGATGTCACATCGTACTTCAGCTTCTCATCAAATTTTCTGTCCAATTAAATGCTCTCTAGAATCTGAAATGTCCCGCCCCCTACACTATAAATAGACGCTGAAACTGCGGCTGAAATAGGTCACTTGTTCACAGAATTGGTATTTTCTTTATGCTAAATGGCATGTAGTGCACTATATGGGGGATAAGG